TTTTTTTTGAGGCAGAGTCTTGCTCTGTTACCCGGACTGGAATGCAGTGGCATGACCTTGGCTTAAACTGCAACCTCCACCTCCCAGGTTCAAGCGATTCTTGTGCCTTAACCTCCTGAGTAGCTGGGATTACAGGCGTGCTCCACCACGTCCAGGTAATTTTTGTATTTTTACAAAAATACAAAAATCCCATAATGATGAGGTTTCTCTATGTTGGCCAGGCTGGTCTCAAACTCCTGACCTCGGGTAATCTGCCCGCCTTGGCTTCCCAAAGTGATGGGATTACAGACTTAAGCCACTGTGTTTGACCTCATAATCACTTTTTGTTTTCCTTGAGATGGAATCTTGCTCTGTTGCCCAGGCTGGAGTCAGTGGTGTGATGTCAGCTTACTGCAAACTCTGCCCCCTGGGTTCAAGCAATTCTCCTGCCTCAGCCTCCCAAGTAGCTGGGACTACAGGCATGTGCCACCATATTTTTAGTAGTGACGTGGTTTCATCATGTTGGCTAGGCTGGTCTTGAACTCCTGACCTCGTGATTCACCCACCTTGGCCTCCAAAAGTGCTGGGAATACAGGCGTGAGCCACTGAGCCCAGCCTCTCCCATAATCATTTTTAATTAATAAATTTTAATTGAATGTTCATAGTTTCACAAGAAACAGTTCTACAAAATCTATAAAGGCAAAAGAAAGGGTCTTCACTGGGACCTCTGGGAGATTTTTGTTTCCTGGGCATGGTGGATGAGTGGATTAATATATGATTCACGTCTGAGATATTTAGAGACTTAGAGGATGTCTGGAGGGCTGTGGTTTGGGATGCCACTGCAGTTCTTGAAATATTTCCTGTGGATTGGGATAAGAGAGAGAAAAACACTGTGTGCTGGTTTTAGACCCTGTGCAAGAGGGCAGAAGGAAGCTGGTGGTGTGCTGATGGTGCCTGCGGCTGAGGAGGGACTTACAAGTGATCAGGTGGAAAACAGATAGATTAATCAATATAAAAAATTCTGGTGGTGAGAAATCCCCACTGATGGAGTGGAAGAGATCTTGGAAGAACCTATTACAATGCCCTGTGTTACAATAAGTAGGCTTTAAAACCCTGTGAATCCCAGAGAGCAACAATGCTGGGTCACCACAGTAGTACAATTAAGACCTTCACTACTGCCCATACCTCTTCTCTGTGTTCTCCAGTCCCTCCACCTCATGTCCAATTATGGAGGCATTAGAAGCTAGGCTTTGCACAATGAGGTGCTACATGGATTTGCTTCTGTCACTATTGAACACTGATGCTTTTTCTTAAGTGCTTCTGATTTTTTTGGAAGTAATTTTGCACATGGTAGATATTCAGATATTTGTCAAATCAAAATTAGTGGAATAGACTGGGCATGGTGGCTCATGCCTGTAATCTCAGCACTTTGGGAGGCCAAGATGGGCAGATAATCTGAGGTCAGGAGTTCAAGACCAGCTTGGCCAACATGGTGAAACTCCATCTCTACTAAAAATACAAAAATCAGCCATGTATGGTGTGCGCATCTGTAGTCCCAGCTACTCAGGAGGCTGAGGCAGAATTGCTTGAACCCAGGAGGTGGAGGCTGCAGTAACCCAAAATTTACACCACTGCCCTCTAGCCTGGGCGACAGAGCCAGACTCTGTCTCAAAAAAAAAACACACAAAGAACCAAAATTGGTGGAATAAAATGTTGTGACTAATTTTTTAGAAATGAGATGACTTTGTCCAGTGATGGGTGTTCTTTTCCTTCCTGAGGTTTTGCTTTAAGAGACTGGCTTTGGTGAGCAGCTGTAATTGCTTTGCCGTGACTTCATCATAGCCTTCGTCTTGTGTCTAAGTGGTACTCTCATTGCAGCTTAGGGAGAAGCCCAGAAACTTTGTGACGTAGAATAATGTTACATAGTGTTTTAAGGTTTTGGGCTGTTTCTTCAGATATCTTACACAGAAACTGAAAACAGATAAAGGTGGAACTGCTCAGGTTAAAGCAGGGCTGGGAGAGGAGGGTCATTGTGTCCTATAGACTGGTTAACGTACTGGCTCTACCACTTCTTTAGTATTTATTTATTTACTTATTTGAGACTCTTGCTCTGTCACCCAGGCTGGAGTACACTGGTGTGATTTAAGCTCACTACAACCTCTGCCTTCTGGGTTCAAATGATTCTCGTGCCTCAGCCTCTGGAGTTGCTGGGACTATAGGTGCACACCACTATGCCTGGGTAATTTTTAACATTTTTAGTGGAGATGGGGTTTTGCCATGTTGGCAAGGCTGGTCTTGAAAGACCAGGTGATCTGCCTGCCTCCGCCTCCCAAAGTGCTGGGATTACAGTCATAAGCCACCATGCCCGGCTGGCTCTGTCACTTTTTATGTAACTTTGAGCAAGTTATTTAACCCTTCTAAGTGAAATTTTCTCATTTGCAAATTGTGGGGTTATTGTAAGTATTAAATGAGATAATATATGTGAAGTGTTTGGCATGTAGAAAGTGTTGAGATGTTAGTTCTTCTCGATGTTTCTTTATGAATAAATTAAGTACTTTTGGCAGTCACACCCCAGAGAGTGATGCCAGTTTTCTCAGCACACATGTTGGAAGCACATGCTGCTGATTAGTTCCATTACTAGCAATGCAACTTGGATCATTGGGTTAAGGTGGTGTCTGCTAGGTTTCTCCATTGGAAAGTTACTGTTTTACTCTTTGTAATTAAAGAATATCTTCTGGGGAGAATATACTTTGAGACTATGTAAGTATTCTGGGACATTTCAAATTTTCATCCCCTAGTTATTGTACATTATTGATTCTTGCATGTTTATTATTGTTATGATATAGGTAAATAGTGGTTTTCTAGTTCCACCTTTCCTTCTACATTTGTTAGTTTGCTCTCTACTACAAGGAAGAGCTTTTCTTTCTCTCTTTATTATTTCTATCCATGTGGACTCTTGTATTGGTTTTCCATTCAATCAGTTGTAATGCCTAACTGTCACTATTTCTTTTGATGCTCAAATTATTTCAGGTTTGGCCAGTGGGAACGTCTTCAAGATGGCTCCTGTATGTTTTTACTCTGTCTCTATCTTCTTTCTGCACTTTCTTAATTTTTGGCACAAGAACATCTTATTTTATTTTTTATTCCTTTTCTTTTTTTTTTTTTTTTTTTTT